CCTGGCGCTCGCGCCCTGCGCCGACCGCGTCCCCGTGGCGGTGGGAGCCGCGGAGGCTGGCTCGGGTGGTCTGTGGACGGAGCAGAGGACGGGCGGCTTCCGTCACGGGGACGCGGGTCGCTGGTCCCCGTCGCCGGCCGCTGGCTTGTGGCGGTCACTGCGACTCTGCGCGGCCCGTGACAGTCCCCGCACCAGCTCTCGCTGCGGCTGGGAGCGGGCGCCGCCCACCACGCTGACCTGGGACCCGACTCGGCCCGGGCGCGATGAGGCAGGGCGTCTGCGCCCCCGGCCTCGGTTTCCCTCTGTGAGGTGGGAGCACCGCCGCCTGCCGGGCCCCTGCATGTGCCCGGCCCAAGCCCGTGACGGCGGCGCGTTCCCGCCTCTCCCAGAGGGCCCGGGCAGATTCACCTTGCTTCCTCAGCGTGGCGTGGCCGCCTTCTCCGACTGCGCTTTCCCGCCCGCAGATCCGATTAGCGCTCGCGTCCTGCGGCCGCGGGGCCATCGCGGTGGGGGCAGGGGCGGGGGCTGGCCCTCGGTTAGGGTTTGTGAGGGACGCACGGGGGCTGGTGCAGGCAGGTGCACAGAAGCGCAGGACTCGCCCACGGTGGGGCCGGGGCGGCGTGGCCGGGGCGGCGTGGCCGGGGCGGCGTGGCCGTGGCGGCGTGGCCGGGGCGAGGGACAGAGACTTCCGTCCCTTGGGAGAGGCTCTCGGGCCTTGGGGGGGCAGTTGTCGGTCGGGAGTCCCCGAGCCAGGAAGTGAGCACTCGCCTGGTCACAGGCCTCAGCACACGTGTGAGCGTGGGGAGACCGCGGCCAAGATGGCCCCGGAAGGGGGGTGTGGGCACCGCGGCCCCAGGGAAGCCTCCTGGGGTGGGCCGTCCGGGCCGTGCGCCGTTGTCATGGCGACAGGCGGGTGGGGCTTACCTATCTGATAGGTTAACGGTCTTATTGCTAAAGCTGTTCCCTACCTTGGCTTGGCCATTTTCCCTGTTTTTGGAGAAAAAAGAAATCCTCCCGCTAAGAACGGAGGAAGGAACTCTTTCACAGGAGAAAGAGTTCTGCGGCCTGGCCGTGGGCCCGTCCAGAACCGCGTGCGGCGGTCGCGGTCCATGCCGCCCGCCACCGCGGCGCCTCAGCCAGAGCGTGGTCTGCTCCGAGGAGAGCACATCAGCACGGGGTCGCATTTGAGTCGATAACGGTAGCTGTTTGTGGCGCTGGTGATTCCTAATCACGTCCAAGAATCGGATTTCGGCCCTGCCCTTCAGGGTGAAGCACGCGTGTGTGCACATGTGTGGGTGCACACGTGTGCGTGCGTGTGTGCGCGAGTGTGTGTAAACACCGAAAACTTCTGTAACGTAGACTGTCCAGGGAGAGTGAGCCTGAGTCAGTGAAACTCGCAAATTAGGGCCACTTACTGCCCCACCCGACACGCGAGCGAGGGAGGAGCTGGCCAGACTGAGCCTCGCCCCCGCAGGGCTTCCCAGAGCCTCCGCGGGCCGCGTCTGCAGCGTCACCTTCGGGGCTGGGCAGAGCCCGGGGACTGACCCAGACTCAAGTCTCCACGGGAGCCTCTTGTATCGAATCGTCTCTTGGGATTAGTGGCCGAACTGTGCAGGTTCACAGATGCTCCAAGGGACCGAAGCTCTATCAATATGATCTGCTGGGAAAATCGCGCCTTGTTTACTGGCCCTGGGCCGCGGATAACCTTTCGTAATGGGCTTACGGAGGATCTTCCGGACCGCGGTCTGTCCACGGGGCGGGAGAGACTGGCTGCGCCGTCTTTGCAGCGTGAAGATTTTTCCAAGAATCCTCGTTTCTCATCCTCAGATCTTAAGACAGTGAGCTGTCCGTGGTGTTCGAGGGCCGTGGGCTGTCCTCAGGGCCGGGCTGCCGCGCCCGGTGACGCCCAGTTGTGCTCACCGCACAGCCCAGCAGCCGAGCCCGTGAGCTCCTGAGGCCTCGGTCCGTGCAGTGTGGCCGGGAGGCCCCTGGCTCCCCGCAGGACTCAGTCTGCAGCGGGAAGCGAGGAAGTGGGCCGGCCACTCCTCGATCCTGTGGGCACTGCTCTGGAGAGGGAGGGCCGTGGCCGGGCTGCTGAGAAACGTCTGTCCGAGCAGCTGGACGCCGGCCCCGCCGCCAGGCCTGCTGGGGCCACCTGGGTGCAGCGGTCAGCTGGGGCTCCTCTCGGCCCCTTTGGCTGCTTGCTCGGTGGGAGGAGGTGGCGGGGCCACCCCGTGGCCTCCTGGCAGCACTGGGGCCTGGCGGAACCTCTGCTCTGTATCTCCAGCCGGCTGTGGTCGCAAAGAGAAAGCTGTCCCGTCAGCCCGACGTTCCCACCCGCCGCAGGTGGAGGAGGAGGCGACATCTGTGGGTCCACAGCGCCTCGTCCGCCTGGGCCGTGGTCACCCTGCGAAGGCATTCTCTGCTGTAGGGCAGGACATCTTTCCTCCCTCCTCCCGCCACGAGCCTTTATGGAGCGCCTGCTGTATGCCAGGCACTGGTTAAGCTCCGGATGTGCAGTGGTCCCAGCCCACCCTCCTGGGCTCGTGACAAACCTTCAGAGAAAACCAGTCCTAGGTACGGGCAAGGTCCTCGTCATCAGCTCTGCTTCCCGCTATGCAGACATGTGAGCGCGCACCTCTCTTCCTCTCCGAGGGTTGCTGCGGCGACTGCTGCGCTTCCGGCCCCGTCTCCCCTCGCGGTCCCCAGTGGAGGCAGAGGGAGCCAGCTCGGGTGAAGTAAGGGCAGGCCAGGCCGCGGTGCTGGTTTGGGGCGCAGCAATGGCATCCGCTCGTCTCCGCGTTTGGTGAAGGCAGAAAGGCGTCTTTGGCAAGGTCTTGAGGGCGAGTGTTTCGGGCCTGAATCTTGCTCTCTTGCCGCGCCTGGCTTTCCCCGCCCAGCTGGGGCGGTGAGTGACCTTGGGAGGGTCCCCTGAGTTGCTGGGGGACTCGAGGGTCCTGCGGAGTCTGGACAGTTTCCACTGTTGCGCAGCCCTCCTCCATCAAGCCGCGCCCACTCGTGGCCAAGCATGAAAATGAGCATGCAGCGCCGTGCCGGGGCCTTGGCGTGTCACCCACTTGGCAGGACCCATGTCCCCGGGTCACACCAGGTCTGCTCCTCCACTGCTCAGAGACGCAGGCCACGGGCCCGGCCCTTGTCCCTCTAGGGCGACGGCTATTTTGGGCTCCGGCCGGGAGGGGCTGGCTGTGTCCCCTGGCACTGCAGTCGGGCTGGAGGCCACACGTTCCACGCAGCCAGGGGCTCTGGTGGCCGGGACTCCAGAGCAGGGGACAGCGGGAAAGAGAGAGGAAAGGTGAGGTACCTGCGTGGCACAGGGCCCTGCCTCTCCGGCCTCCGACTGCAGCTGTTCCCGGAGGGCGAGCAGGCAGGGCGGGCGCCACCCTGGGCGTGGGGTCCCTTGTGCCAGCCAGGAGAGGCTTGGGAACAGGCACAGGGCCGTCCTGCGGGCAGCTGGCTCCGCCGAGCCGTCCCCCACGCGGCGCTGGCTGGAGGGGCGACAGAGGGAGGGCTGTTCCCAGGAAGCACAGGGAGCAGGGCTCGTTCTCAGACACGAGGTGACGTGCCCGCGTCGGGACAGCAGCCGAGGGGGACACATGGCGACGTCCTCAGGGCACTGTGGCCCTTGGCCGCGGAGGAGGGGGTTGTCAGGGTTGAGCTGCAGAACAAAACTTCACTTGGGTTTAACTTTTTGGGCCCAGGGAAAGCAGAAGGGAAAGAGGAAGCACAGGAAGGGATTAAACTCATTGTTCAAGGAGGGGAAATGAGGAAGGATTCAGGCATGTGATTTGCATGTTCGCTAATCTCGCCTTAGCCCCGAGCTGGGGGAGGGAGGAGGTGGCAGAGCGGGCTGTGTGGCCTCCTCGGGCTCAGGGACCCGGCTGCGCAGGGTAGCGGTGGTAGGGTGCCCCGAAGGATGCCCCGAAAGGTGCTGGGGTTGCGGCCGGGCCTCTCCAGGGACTCCAGGGCGGGAGGCGGCTGTCGGTTGCCTTGCTCTCTTTGGCTGGTGCGACCAGTCACGGAAGGCAAAGTGGGGACAAGGTGGGGCGGGGCGGAGTGGGGCGCCTAGAGCCCAGACTGTGGCCCGGGTGCCTGGGCCTGAGCGTGCCTGTCCAGCGGCTTGCTCATGCAGTGTGGGGTGGTGGGGATGGCGGGATGCAGCCGGCTGGGGTCTGCATGCCTGCTGGGGACCTCAGTGTGGGGCGGTGGGGATGATGGGATGCAGCCGGTTGGGGTCTGCCTGTCTGCTGGGGACCTCAGTGTGGGGCGGTGGGGACGGCGGGATGCAGCTGGCTGGGGTCTGCGTGCCTGCTGGGGACCTCAGTGTGGGGCGGTGGGGATGATGGGATGCAGCTAGTTGGGGTCTGCCTGTCTGTTGGGGACCTCAGTGTGGGGCGGTGGGGATGATGGGATGCAGCCGGTTGGGGTCTGCGTGCCTGCTGGGGACCTCAATGTGGGACGGTGGGGACGGCGGGATGCAGCCGGCTGGGGTCTGTGTGCCTGCTGGGGACCTCAGTGTGGGGCGGTGGGGACGGCGGGATGCAGCCGGCTGGGGTCTGTGTGCCTGCTGGGGACCGCAGTGTGGGGCGGTGGGGCCGGCGGGATGCAGCCGGCTGGGGTCTGCGTGCCTGCTGGGGACCTCAGTGTGGGGCGGTGGGGACGGCGGGATGCAGCCGGCCGGGGTCTGTGTGCCTGCTGGGGACAGCAGTGTGGGGCGGTGGGGACGGTGGGATGCAGCTGGCCGGGGTCTGCGTGCCTGCTGGGGACCGCAGTGTGGGGCGGTGGGGACGGTGGGATGCAGCCGGCTGGGGTCTGCGTGCCTGCTGGGGACCGCAGTGTGGGGCGGTGGGGACGGTGGGATGCAGCTGGCCGGGGTCTGCGTGCCTGCTGGGGACCGCAGTGCGCCCCGCTCTCCTCAGCAGCCGTTGCCCGGAGAAAACACGGGTCACCGCGTGGGCCAGGGAGAGTCTTCAGTACGCTTCCCACGTCACGTGTCTTTTATTGGACTGGTGAATCGTTTAAGAACCGCATTTTACTTCAGAACCCTCGTACAGCTGAGAGCCTCTGGGTTTACGTCCACACGGAAGCGCAGACGGCAGGCTGCCGAGTGACACGCAGCCCAGCCCCGTGACCCCGGGTGAGCCAGCCTCCTCCGAGCCTCCCCGCCCGAGAGCTGCCCTGCGGGGGCACCGGTTGTGGGGTCACCGCCGGGTCCCGAAGGTGGCGCCCCTCAGCGCCCTGTGCTGTGCTGGGCCGGGGGGCTGCCGTGGACCCGCCTGGTTTGCTCCATTTCCAGTCGCTGCCTTCTCTCACCTCTCTCGCATGAACGTGTGGATCGTGGCGCCTTTAATGGCCAGTGTGACAACATTTTCATCTTTGTAAATGATGAGCACACAGTTGTCCTTTAGATCTGTGTGGTTTTTGTTTAAAACACTCTGTGAAATGCCGTGTGTTCTCGCGAGTCCCCGTGCCGCCTGGGGAGGGCACGTGGGGCTGGGGGAGCCGGCAGGAGGGGGTCCCCAGGCTCCGGCCTTCGCTCTCTCCCAGCCGCACGGGCCTGGGCCGGGTCTCGGGAGCGTGAGCCCCTCACCAGCGGCGGCCCACGCCTGCCCCGGGGAAACCGGAGCTCCACCCGGCCCCCGGCAGGCCCGCCTCGCCGGCTCAGGAGTTTGTCCCGAGCCTCGGGCCCCTCTCTGCTGGGGCGAAGTGAGTCGCTAACTCAGTCTGTCCGCCTTGTTCTTGCAGTGAGGGCGGGAGGGGAGGGCTCTGCACCCTGAGGGAGGCTGGAGCTCCGCCTGCGCGGTCTCTGACATCGCGAAGTGTAACGAGACGTGCGCAAAGCGCCGGCGACCAGTCCAGTGAATAGTAGTGCCGCAGACGCCGCCTGTTTCTCTAAGAGCGAGAGTCGTTATTACAGTGGGCAGCTGGTGGCGAGAAAATTGCGTCCAAGTGAACTTAGCTGTGACTGCGTATGTGTGTATGTGAAGGCACACATGTATGTGTGCGCATAAACATGTATATGCAAACACATGTTTACCTGTGTGCACACGTGTGGGTAAATACATCTATGTATGTATGTGCATGTATGTGAGTGCACATGTGTATGTGCACATGGACGCACGTGTGTGTGTGCATGAATACACATGTGTGCAAGTCAGTGTGCGCATGTGTGCATATACATGTGCCTGGACGTGAATGCACTGTGTTCGTGTGCACATATGTATACATGAATGCACACGGGTATGTGTGTATGTGTGTGTACATGGATGTGTGTGTGTGTGCGTGCGCGTGTGTGTGCGTGTGCCTTGCAGAGTGGTCCCCACAAACCTGCCAGCCCCGAAGAGGGCCCTGCTGCCCCGGCAGCTCTGGTGCAGGAGGTGCCTGCCATACCCTGCGGCCACAGGCCTGTCACAGGTCTATTGTGCAGTCATCAGGCCCTGGCAGCTTTTCCCACCCTTCCACCTCCGGCACCAACACCGCCACTCCCCAGGCCAGGGTAACCACCACAACACCCTGCAGAGCACGGAAGACCCTGGAGCTCAGAGAATCGGGGTAGGTGAGGGGACCCCGGAGTTCCTTCTGGCTCGGCGTCACCAGGCCCGCTCTGCCCTTAGGGTCTGTCCCACACCCCCACTGTCCCCTCTCTGCCCAGCCCCAGCGCCACCCTCTCCAGGTCTGCTTCCACCAGGACTCGGTTTAGGAGGTGGAGAAACCTGCTGGCAGACAGACCTGGGGGGGGGGGTGGCAGCAGGACCCTTGTCCTTGGTCTGCGGCCCCCGTTCCCCTCCGGGACACACATGGTGGGGATTCTCACCTCCTTGGGAAGTGGCCTGGGGCACCAGGGGCCCTCGGTCCGTGCGCTCAGGCCCCAGCCCGGGTGTCCGGCTGTGCTGGGCTCTCTCAGCCGTCTGCCAGGCGGAGCTGCCTGTGTGACCTCTATTTGCTGGGACGATGCCCTCGGCATCTCCGGTGAGATCTGGAAGCATCGGCAGTTTCCTTTTCGCCGAGTCCGGAGTCACTTCCTTCCCGCGGGTCCAGCCACTCCCAGCACGTGGCTGGCCTGCCACGTGTCCGACGGCACTCTGATTATTAGACGGGTTTTGGTAAAGTGCCACACGGCTGTCCTGTGACATTGTTCTTTCAGGAAACTTTTAACTGAGGCAGCTCGTAATGACACATGGACCAGGGAGCCGTGCTGCTGTCTGTCACAAATGTACGTATGGCGCCCACGGGCCGTGCGAATGCGGGCGGAGCCCTCGGTGGCGTGTGCTAGGCCTGCACTACGGACAGGGGTGGGCCATGGCGGTGAAAGGAGCGTTTGGGGCCACAGGTCGCAGAAATAGTGATTTCCGCACCAGCAGCCCTGGTTTTCCCCGCCTCCCAAAGGGGCTTCCGGGCCGTGGGGGGCCGGCAGGACCCGGGCACTGGTCTGTCCTCAGGCTCTGTGGCTTCATGCTCCCTAGGTGGCTGCTGCTGCACCTGTACACACTCCTTCCTCACTCAGGGAGGAAGAAGGCAAAGCGGTATTTGTCTCTCGTCTCAGGAAAGCAAAAGCCTCCCTGGAGGGTCTCCCCGGCTAGGCTTGGCCCCTGCCCATCCCTGTGTCCGTGCTCGGAGAGGGGACAGGGCCTCCTTCCTGGCTCAGGCCTGGGCTGAGCTCCCCTCACGAGCCCAAGGCTGCACCCGGCTTCAGTCGCAGAGCTCGGTCCCCAGCAGTGGGGGTGGCGTCAGGCAGCTCACCCAGTGGCCTGTGTGCTGCAGAAGCAGAGTCCTGTTATCGGTGGCAGAAGGAGTGGTTTTAGGTGTATATCATTTAATTGTGGCTTTTTAAACATTGTGAGAAAAATATGTAGCGCTAAAAGATTCTCATGAGTCTAGTAATGGTTTTAAGTTAGTTTTGTATTTTATTTATTTTAATAATATCTAAATGCTATACAAATGCAGCTAAAATAGAAAATTATATGCAGCGGCTCACGCCTGTAATCCTAGCAATTTGAAAGGCTGAGGCAGAAGGATTCTTTGAGCCCAGGAACTGAGACAAGCCTGGGCAACATAGTGAGATCTTGTCTCTATTTTTGTTTTTTAATTATAAAATGTAAAGAAAAAAGCAAATGGAATGCATCGTGTGGGGTGTGCTGTTGCGTAGCCTGTAGTCAGTGCTTAGTGCATGTAGGATCCAAGCCCCGAGCAGGGACTGCTCTACATGCCAAAGGATAGTGGAGAGCTTCTCTTAGGACGTGGACTGTCGGCTCTGCAGGCCATCTCGTTGGTGTATGTGTCTGTTTGATATGCCACTTCCGTGCTATTTTATTTATGGAGGCTTCATAGATGTGGTACTATGTTATAGGGCTATTTACTTGTTCTCTTTCCTGGTTTTCTTGGTTTTTCTTTCCTGTTTATTTTTCCATATGAACTGCAGGATCAGCATGTATAGTTTGAGGGGTGGGGAACTTTTGGTATTTTTATTAGGATTCATTTATATTTATAAATGGTTTATGTATCATTTACGTGTTACTATCTAACAAACCACCTCAAAATGTAGCGGTTTAAAACACCACCATTAGGGGGCTCACAGTTCTATGGATCAGCAGTTTGGTTGGGCTCAGCAGGTTGGTTCTTCTGTTGTTCCCCCCACCCCCATCCCCCGCGTCGCTCGTGTGACTGCCCAGGAGCTGCTGTCTGGGCATCGTCAGCTGGGAAGGTCCATTTCTGCTCCATGCGGGTCCACCGGCCTGCAGCCTGGCCACGCCGCCTCGTTTGGTGCCCAGGAGAGCGTAAGGGAGACCGAAAGGTCTCTGAAGGGTGCTTCCACCGCCTTCCTGGGGTGAGCCCTGAAGCCAGCCAGGCTCAGGGCAGGGGCAGCCCCTGTGTCTTGACGGAGGAGCCCTGCTGTGCCCGGGGGTGTGCGGGGAGGCGTGGCATGGGCTGGACACACAGGGTTTTTATGTTTGCTCCGTCCTGCTTTAGTGTCTTTCAGGATCTTCTATGGTTTCCTCGTATGGGCTTTTTTCCTTCTGTAGTTGTGGATCGGGCATTTTTCTTTTTTTATTGCAGACCTGCATGGGGCCTTCTCCCTCATTTTACCTCCTGTTTTTGTGTGTCCGTGTGGTCCTCTGGGATGCTGTCCCCTGGCTCCTGGACACATGGGGGCTCGGTGTCCTCGCCGACCCTGTCTCCAAGTGCTCCCGTGGGCTGCAGGCGTGGCCTCGCTGGCTGGGGAGGAGGCGCAGGCCCTGCACCTGCGATCCCCCCTCCCGGCCTAAAGCAGCACCCGGAGCTCCCTCGTGCTGACCGCGAGGAGCCTCCAGAGCCTGGGTCCCGAGTGACCACGGCGGGCAGAGCCGCCCGCGACCGCAACTGTTAGGTGAGAGAGAAAGAAACTCCTCCATTGTCTCGGTCTCTTCTGAGGGTTTCCGTGTGTTGTGTTTTATTACTTTCCGCATCACCGTCGTCTCTTCCTGCTGCGGGAGCCGTCTGGGTACGGCGGGTTCTCGAGGGTCTCGGTGAGGGGGGGGCACGCCTGTCGTCTGCACGCGGTGAAGACTTCGCCGCCCCCTTTTCCAGCTGTTAGACCTGCTGCTAATTCCAAACGCTGGCAAGGGCACAATGGCAAATATTTCATGCTTTTCAGGCTTGTTGGAAAGATCAAGTGGTCTCTGTGAGTGGATTTACCTGAGAACTGAGGGTTTCCCTTTAAACCTCAAGAATAGAGCCGTGTTTGTTTCATCTAGGATCTTAGTTGAGCCCTTAAAGCTGCCTTCCCCGGTTCTAGACGTGTCGCACGGCATGGCGAGCGTGACGCTGAGCCGCCTCAGCGTTCTGACGGGTCAGGCCCGCAACAATCGCACCTTGTGTTCTCACTCATGATGTCACTGAGAGCCGGGGGTCTGCGGACCTGCCCCGCGGGGCCGCCGCCCATGCTGCCGGCTCCAGCCCCTGCTCGTTCCTGCCCCGGCTGGCCGCTGTGGCAGCATGCACCGCCCCGCCCCTCCTCCACGGGGCCGCGATTGCTGCGAGCAGGGAAAGCCGCCGCAGCGCCGCACGGAGCCTGGCGGGCGCAGTGGGTGGGGTGGCGAGGGCAGGCCTGGGCCTGAGAGGGTGGCTGCAAAGGTTGGGAGCAGGGGACGGGAAGAGGAGACGGGGGCAGTGGCAGCAGGGAGCGTCCCTGGGCGCCTGCCATGATGGGCCCTGGGGCAGGCGGGGGACGGGGGCTGGGCAGCAGATGGCACGCATGGCAGGGCGTGGGAAGGGCCCGCACGTTTCTGGAATTGTGGGATCTGGAAACGAGGATTCCGGGTGTCTGTCCAGGCGTGCGAGTCTGCTCGGGCCGTTGCAACGCAGGGCCACCGTCAGCAGCACAAATAGCTGGGGGGCCAGAAGTCCAAGGTCAGGGCTGTCCCTCCTGAGGCCTCTGTCCCTGGCCGTGGTTCCACACGGTCGACCCTTCACATAAGGACGCCCGTCAGACTGGGTCCCGGCCCACCCTGCTGACGTCATGGAACTTAATCCCCACTTGAAGGCCCTGTCTCCACACTCGGCTGTGCTCTGAGGTCCCGGGGGTCATTTTCAGGGGGACTCGACGCACCCGTACCGAGAGGAGCCGGAGTGGCGTGGCCAGTGCCGCGCTCCCGTGGACCTGCCGTGGCGAGCCCCAGACTCTGCCTTGGAATGAGCGGCCAGAGCCTCTGGCGGGACAGAGCGGCAGAGCTGGCGTCTCGGTGGGTGGGCAGGTGGGCGGAGGGTCTTGCTGGGCCCCCAGTCCCTCCTGCCCCCCGGGAAGTCCGGCAGCTCCCCAGAGGGGCGGCCGCCAACACCCTGGGCTGGGTTCTCGTCCCGGCTGCGCCGAGCGTTGACGCTTCGCCCCGTGACGTCCCCCTGCCGCCGGGCCCGTGCCCCTCCAAGTGGCAGGATCCTGTGTCCCTGCCCAGGCAAAGGCAGGACCGTCCCTCACCTTTGCCCCCCGACCCGGGAAGGTGTTGGTCTTCATGCTCGTATGGGGGCCGCAGGAAGCCACCTGCCCAGGGCCCCGCCGTGGGCGCCAGGCTCCCGGAGCAGCGTGACCTGTAGCCTCACCCAGGGGCTTAGGAACACGCCAGGTGGCGGCCGGGCATCAGTGGACAGACGCCCGTGGCCTGCGGCCGGCGTCCTGCCCACAACTGCTGGGTGTCCACGCCCCAGGGTCACGCGGGCGCCTGCAGGTCCCGCGGGTGTGGCTCCTCTGTCCCGTGTTCTCCAAGGCCTTCTGGGCCACACAGGGCCTGGCGTGGCCAGCGTGTGGGGGCGGGGCAGGGCGGGCTCCAGGCTCTTCCCGGGGAGCCCACCTGCGGGAGCCCTGTGCTCACGCGTCCAACACACGAGGGTGCGGCTTCCGGCCGAGAGTGTGGCTCCCGAGCCTCTGGCCCCTACGCTCCCGTCTGTGACACGGGGACATTGAGGCCCCAAGAGCCCACGATGATGGGATCGCCGTGGCGTCACAGCAGTTTGGATGATGGAGACCAAGACCGCCGCGTGATGCCACGTCACACGAGCCGTGAGCGCTGGCGGCGGGAGTGGGCATCGGCGAAACCCCGCTGAGGACAGGTCCCTTCCACCGAGACACACAGACGGGCGCCGTCCCCAGGGCCTGCCCCTGGGACTGTCCCGCGGACCCTGGGCTCTGGGCCCCCCAGGCGAGCGCAGGACGCCCGGCAGCGCCTCCGTGTGCGGCAGAGCCCGCAGCCAGAGCAGAGTGAGCCTGCGTCACTTGTGAGAACACACAGACGCAGGGGTGCGGCGGCCCACGGTGGCCGGGACTCTGCGCGCCGGCAGGCCAGGCAGGCGGGTGGGGCCCCGGGTACAGGGGACAAAGCCCCCCAGCCCAGTGTGCACGCGGTCTCCACGCGGCCCTGCGTGGGGAAGGCCGTCGGGGGACGGTGGGTGCCCGTGGAACGTGGGTGGGATATCTGATAATATTCTCGTGCCGACAGTACACTTCACGCCGGTGACCATGGTGTTGTGGTCTCTGGAGTGTCCGTATTCTTCGGAGGCAACTGGAATGTTCACGGGGGCGTCGTGAAGCAGCCGGAGGACGTTTTAGTTCAGAGCCTGTGCGTAAGGAGTGCACAAGTTAATTTTAAGTGTTCATACAGGTCTTTGTTGCAGATGTTAGGTTAGGGTAAGCAATAAAAGACTTCAAGCATAATATCAAACAAAAGAGACTCTCAGTGCATTTCGTGATGATAAACCCCGCAGAGCTGGCTCGAATCCGGGGAGCAAATGGGACAATTGACCCCCAGCTGTTGGGAAGAGCCTGCCTCCCAGCACTGCTGCCGGCTCTCAAACCAGCGGCCTTTTGAACCCATCGGCTGTATTTATTGTTTTTATTTTTATTTGTTTTGAGACCGGGTCTTGCTTTGTTGCCCAGGCTAGAGTGAGTGCCGTGGCGTCAGCCTAGCTCACAGCAACCTCCAACTCCTGGCCTCAAGCGATCCTCCTGCCTCAGCCTCCCGAGTAGCTGGGACTACAGGCGTGCGCCACCATGCCCGGCTAATTTTTTCTGTATATATATTAGTTGGCCAATTAATTTCTTTCTATTTATAGTAGAGACGGGGTCTCGCTCTTGCTCAGGCTGGTTTTGAACTCCTGACCTCGAGCAATCCACCCACCTCGGCCTCCCAGAGTGCTAGGATCACAGGCGTGAGCCCCCGCGCCGGCCCCAGCGGCTGTGTTTAAAAGCATAAAGCCGTGCCTGAGAAAGTCAACACGCGCAACATGCCAGAATCTGCAGCTGCTGTGCATGTAAACTTGGGTTAGAGACGCAGACAGCGCCCTAACACTGGGGATGCGTGGTTTTCCAGGCATCGCTGTAGAGGACACGAGCAAACGACTTGGGGGGCCGCCGGGTCCGGGCACCTTGACGGCGCCTTCCTGCTGAGACAGCCTGGAGGCCTCTGCGATGTAGACGGGGCAGGCGAGGCCGGGGCAGGCCAGCCTCACCCTCGCCCGTGTGCGGGCGGCCTCTGCCCGCCACCCTGCACAGGCTGTGCGTCGGCCGCACGCGCGTCCTCACGGGGTGTTGAGGAGGTGGGACGGGCGCCGGGGAGGTCTGTGAGCAGGGACGGCGCGGGCCAGAGCCGCGGCGGGTCCAGGCGGGCGTCTCCCGCGGCGGCCGGCCTTACGTGAGGAGCAGCCCGAGTTCCTCAGGATGCCCGTCCCCGCTGAGCGGTGGAGCCACGGGCTTTGACCCCACGTCTCAGGCGTCCCGGGGTGGAGACCCGCGGCCAGGCCGGCGGCCAGCTGCAGGAAGCACGCGGGAAGGTGCCAGGGAGCGGCGGGACACCGTCTGGGTGGCTGTGGGTGGCCCAGGCGGCAGGACCGAGCTGGAGGGCGAAGCCAGCCCCACCGAGCCGGGCGCTCGGCCGGCCCATCTGCCCTTTTGAGGGTCGGTCAGCCCCGGAGACTCAGGGCCAGGCTGGACCTGCGGCCCTGGGGCCCCGTGCGGGCTGGGTGTGCGCGGCACCGGGCCGCAGGGTGCGGCCGGGAGGGCGGGTGCGGCTCCCCGGGGACTGCGCAGACGCTCCAGCCGGGGACGGGTGCCGCAGCGACCGGCCGCTCCTCCATCCTGAGAGCGGTTGTCGCCGTGAGGCGGGCGGGCACGTGTCGTGGGAAGGGGGACCGCGGCGTTTCGGGAGCCTTCCCCGGTGTGCACACGCGCTCGCGCCCCGCCGAGGAGCTAGCAGGCGCTCCGTGTCGATGCCCCCGCAGCTCGGCCTTGCTTCTCAATGAGACGCTAAATGAAATGACACGCTCACACGCCTTGCCTGGACAGAGTCGCTGTGGATGTTTGGGTGCGTTTCTTCTAGACTTCTGTTTGCTTCTTTCCTGTTTGCATGGGACAGCATGTGTGCAAGACGTGTTGTGTGTGGTGTGGTGTGTGTATAGTGTGTGGTGTGTTGGGTGTGTGGATGATGTCTTTGGTGTGTGTGTGATGTGGTGTTCCTGAGCATGTGTGTGTTGTGTGTGTGATGTATGTGGTGTGTGTGGTGTGTGTGAGTGCCTGTGTGTGTGGTGTGTGTTGCAGTGTGGTGTGTGATGTGGCGTGTGTAGTGTGTTGTGTGTGTGATGTGGCATGTGTAGCGTGTTATGTGTATTGTATGTGACTGCCTGTGTGTTGTATGGTGTGTGTTGTGTGTGTGTCATGTGGTATGTGTAGTGTGGTGTGTGGGACGTGGCATGTGTAGTGTGGTGTGTGTTGTGGTGTGTGTGTGACATGGCATGTGTAGTGTGGTGTGCGGCATGGTGTTGGGTGTGTGACGTGGCATGTGTAGTGTGGTGTGCGGCATGGTGTTGGGTGTGTGACGTGGCATGTGTAGTGTGGTGTGTGGCATGGTGTTGGGTGTGTGGCGTGGCATGCGTAGTGTGGTGTGCTGTGGTGTGTGTGTGGAAGGCACAGGTGACCACCACGGGTCGCATGGTGTTGGGTGTGTGGCGTGGCATGCGTAGTGTGGTGTGCTGTGGTGTGTGTGTGGAAGGCACAGGTGACCACCACGGGTCTGTCAGTCCCGCCTTCCATTTCTTCTGGAAGGAGAGGTGCACCAGGCTCCTCCCGTCGGCAGCGGGCGGGCGCTGGCTGAGCCCAGGGCTTCCTCCCGGCCGCGCCCCCGTCTCCCCGTCTCCTCTGTCTCCCCCCCGTCTCCCCCGTCCCCCCGTCTCCCCATCCCCCTGTCCCCCCGTCCCCGGTCCCGCGGGCGCTGTGCCGCGACCGACGCCATGCTTGCCCCGCAGGACGGCTGTTCTCAGCGAGGGGCCCTGCACGCGCTCCTGAGCAGCGGCCATGGGCCTGCTCGCCTTCCTGAAGACCCAGTTCGCCGTGCACCTGCTCGTCGGGTTCGTGTTCGTGGTGAGCGGGCTGGTCATCAACTTCGCGCAGCTCTGCACGCTGGCCATCTGGCCCGTCAGCAAGCAGCTCTACCGCCGCCTCAACTGCCGCCTCGCCTACTCGCTGTGGAGCCGTGAGTGTCCGCGCGGGGGCCTGTGGGGGGCCGCGACCGCGGGGGCCGGGCCTCGTTCCCAGCACAGGACGGGGGCCGGGCCCTTCAGCGGGTCGCCCTGGCTGCGGAACCCGCCGGACACAGTGCACGTGAGGTCCACGATGACTGGACAGGCCGTGTCTGCACAGAGCCACGGCGTTCCTCCCCCGCTTCTGCCGATCGTCTTCTCCCCTGACCTTTGCTTAGAGAAGGGAGTTGTAATTTTGGTAAACTTTTTAAAGTATAAGCCATTAGAACTCACTTCTAGCAGAAAATTCTGCTGTAGATGAAGATCCTGTGACTGTCCCCCGCGGGGGGGACCTGCCAGGGCCTCCCAGGGACGCTGGCCGCTCACCCCGAGAGCAGAGGCTGTCCCGCGCCCAGGCCAACACCCCCGTGTGTCCGCAGAGCTGGTCATGCTCCTGGAGTGGTGGTCGGGCACGGAGTGCACTCTGTTCACGGACCAGGCCACGGTGGACCGCTTCGGGAAGGAGCACGTGGTCATCATCCTCAACCACAACTTCGAGATCGACTTCCTGTGTGGGTGGACCATGTGTGAGCGGTTTGGCGTGCTAGGGGTAAGCCACAGGGACCCCAGGCAGGTGCGGGGGTGAGCCATGGGGACCCTGGGCAGGTGCGGGGGTCAGCCACGGGGTCCCCGGGCAGATGCCGGGGTGAGCCACGGGGTCCCCGTGGAGGCGCCAGGGTCAGCCACGGGGTCCCCGTGTAGTCCTGGGGTGAGCCACGGGGTCCCCCCGGGAGGTGCTGGGGGAATCTGGCCAAGCCCCCGGCCTCTCCCAGACACTGAGCGCCGGCTGCCCGTCCTCTCGTCAGAGCTCCAAAGTGCTCGCTAAGAAGGAGCTGCTCTATGTGCCCCTCATTGGCTGGACATGGTACTTCCTGGAGATCGTGTTCTGCAAGCGGAAATGGGAGGAGGACCGGGACACTGTCATCGAAGGGCTGAAGCGCTTGTCCGACTACCCCGAGTACATGTGGGTGAGTGTCGGGTGACCCCGAGTACACATGGGTGAGTGTCGGGTGACCCCGAGTACACGTGGGTGAGTGTCGGGTGACCCCGAGTACACGTGGGTGAGTGTCGGGTGACCCCGAGTACATGTGGGTGAGTGTCGGGTGACCCCTGAGTACATGTGGGTGAGTGTCGGTGACCCCGAGTACATGTGGGTGCGTGTCGGGTGACCCCGAGTACATGTGGGTGAGTGTCGGTGACCCCGAGTACATGTGGGTGCGTGCCGGTGCCCCCGAGGTGCCGTGCTGAGGGAGGCAGCTGGGTTTGAGGTTGGACGGCACTGGCAGCCGTCTCCCAGCCCAGCACTAGCCAGGCCCGGCCCCACCCAGCTCCCGAGACCGGCCGAGATCGAGCGCGTTCAGGGTGGGTGGCCGTAGACACTCCAGCCTCCCGACACACCTGCAGCCTAAATTGCAGTCGCGAGAGCCCACGAGGGACCCCAGCAGGGCCAGGGCTCCCCGGCCTTCCGGTCTGCCGACGCGCCAGCTTCTCTCGGGCCGCCTGCTCCCCGATAGGCCACCGGCCCGGCCTGACCCAGAGCCACCCGCAGGGTGCCCGGGAGGGACGGGGCGGGTGCTCTCCAGCCAACCCCGGCCACCTGCCCTCCCTGCTCTGCGTGTGTCTTTGCTCCCTTTTAACTCGTGTCGTGGCAAATGGGTCGAAGACTTTTCCTGTTTTCCACTGTCTGATTGGGGCTGCCGCCCAGAGACTCCTGCACGCTTCACTTCCTTCTGGAAATCCGTTCTGTTCTGTGTGAGTGAACGCATGTGGCTAAGTGCAGGCTGCAGCCCTAAAATACAGTAACATCTCAAATTGTGCCACCTCTGTCCCCCGGGCTCCGTGTCCTAGTTTCTGCTGTACTGTGAGGGAACCCGCTTCACGGAGACCAAGCACCGCGTCAGCATGGAGGTGGCCGCCTCCAAGGGGCTGCCCCCGCTCAAGTACCACCTGCTGCCGCGGACCAAGGGCTTCACCACCGCGGTCCAGTGCCTCCGGGGGACAGGTAGGCGCCTCGGCCACCACGGCTGGCACCACCGTGCTCTCTGGGCTCCCGCATGAACCGAAAGATGAAGGCAGCGACTCGTTAAAAAAACCCAATAAGGGCCGGGCGCGGTGGCTCACACCTGTAATGCTAGCACTCTGGGAGGCCGAGGTGGGTGGATTGCTCGAGGTCAGGAGTTCGAAACCAGCCTGAGCAAGAGCGAGACCCCGTCTCTACTATAAATAGAAAGAAATTAATTAGCCAACTAATATATATAGAAAAAATCAGCCGGGCATGGTGGCGCATGCCTGTAGTCCCAGCTACTCGGGAGGCTGAGGCAGGAGGATCGCTTGAGCCCAGGAGTTGGAGGTTGCTGTGAGCTAGGCTGACGCCACGGCACTCACTCTAGCCTGGGCAACAAAGCGAGACTCTGTCTCAAAAAAAACCAACAACAAAACCCCCCCAGTAAGTACGTTGCGTGTAACACAGCACACCGAAAGCAGGCACAGAGAGAACCGAGTAAGGGGAGTTCTGTGCTGTAAGTTCCTCGCATCCTATTTTGATAAAATGCAAGTTAATAGCAAACAATTAAAATAATAATGAAAACTTATGACAGAAAACCTAACAAAGGAAAAAAATGACAAATGTATCTAATTAGTCAGAAAGGGGTCGAGATGAAAGAGAGGGACAAAGAACGCATAGGACAAATCGAAACAGCCAGGTTGGAGAGTTAAACACCCTTATTATGTCAAGAAAGCAACACGCGTGTAAGAAGCCCTTGCGTGTCCTGCCCGGGCGGGGCTGGCGGGGCGTCCTGCTGCCCCACCGGCAGCGCCCCCCTCCCAGGCGCCGTCACCGCCCCGTCTCCTCCCTGCAGTCGCAGCCGTCTACGACGTCACCCTGAACTTCAGAGGGAACAAGAACCCGTCTCTGCTGGGCATCCTCTACGGGAAGAAGTACGAGGCGGACATGTGCGTGAGGTGAGGCCGGAGCGCGGTCCCTGCCGCTCCCGCGGACCCCTGCCGCTCCCGCGGACCCCTGCCTGCCGCCCGGCACGGCCGGGGAGCCCCCGCCCTGGCCCGCGCTGCCCCGGCGCTGCCCCTTGCTCTCGAGCCGGGCGGGGCGCGCAGGCGGCCGGCTGAAGTCCTGCCCTGGGTCCAGGCAGGCAGGCGCTGAGAGGGGAAGCGGGCGTCGCTTAGGGGAGACGGCTGGGCCGGCGCTGGGCCCGTCCTCTCCTCCGCGTGCTTGGGAGGCCCGTGCGGCGCGCTCTGTGCACAGCTCCCTTCCCTCCCCAGCCCGGGCTCGCATCCCAGCGGGTCCGCGAGGTCCGGGACGAGCGGTGCTGGCTCCCCGCGGGGCAGCCAGGTGCGGGGCAGCAGCAGGGGCCTCCGCAGGGCCTCTGGCCGGAAGCCGCGGCGGGTGTGGTGCGAGTGGGTTTTTGCTGGCGCGGGTGGTGTCAGCCCCGGAACGGGGGTCCCGCGGCTCTGAAAGGAGGCGGGCGAGGGAGAGCAGGAGCCGGGTTTGGACTCTGTCTGGAGTATCGGGGCTTTGGTGCTGCGTTCCCCGTCCCGTCCCAGTGAGATAAGCTGGGAATGACGTGTCCAGACGTCCACGTCTCCCGCCGGGAGCCCGAGGCTGGCTCTGAAGGGCGTGAGCCACCTCGTGTGGAGAGCAGCCTCTCTCTGTCCAAGGGCGAGGCCACACGTTGCTCAGAGTCCGTGTGAGTCGAGGCCGCCTGTCTCGTTGCCGCTCTTCGGCTCTGCCAGCCTCTCTGGCTCATGCAGAGAAGAAGAGCCACCCAGAACGCCCTTTAACGGAAAACTCAGTCTGGGTGTGGCCCTGACTCCAGCTTCAGGCGTCTTTCGGGGCTGCCCGTGGGTCTGTCCGGCCTGCAGGAGCCGCGTGCTCAGGGTGCCCCGGCGGTGCGGCGAAAACCAGAGCTTGGGTTTGCACTCGCTTTTTTATCTTGTCATTTTTATTACAGTTCTTATGTTTATATATTTCATAATGCATATAACAGACTTATTAAAAACCTGTATGTGTGTGTGTGTATGTGGGGTATGTGCGTTGTGTATGTGTGCTGTGTGTAACAATTGTGTGTATAGCGTGTTGTATGTGGGGTGTGGTTTGTGTATATATTTGGGGTGTGTGTGGGTGTGTGGGTGTGATGTGGGGTGTGTATAAATTATGTGTATGCATGTCTATAAATTAGACATGCATGTGTGTGTGGCGTGTGTGTGTGGGGTAGATGTGGTTTGTGTGTGGATGTGGTGTGTGTATAAATTGTGTCTATAAATTAGATGTACATGTGTGTACATGGTGTGTGTGTATGTGGGGTGTGTGGTTTGTGTGTGTGGCGTGTATGTCTATAAATTAGGTGTGCATATGTGTGTATGTGGCGTGTATGTCTATAAATTAGGTGTGCATATGTGTGTATGTGGCATGTATGTCTATAAATTAGGTGTGCATATGTGTGTATGTGGTGTGTATGTAAATTGTGCGTGTGGTGTGTGTGTCTATAAATTAGGTATGCATGTGTGTGTGTACAAATTGTGTGTGTGGTGTGTGTCTATAAATTAGATGTGCGTGTGTGTGGCGTGTGTATAAACTGTGTGATTCGTGTATAAACTGTGTGTGCGGCGTGTGTGTCTATAAATCACATGTGCGTGTGTGTGGTGTGTGTATAAACTGTATGTGTGGCGTGTGTGTCTATAAATCAGACGTGTGTGTGTGGCGTGTGTGTCAACTGTGTGTGTGTCTATAAATCAGACGTGCGTGTGTGTGGCGTGTGTGTCAACTGTGTGGTGTGTGTATAAACTGTGTGTGTGGTGTGTGTGTATAATCAGACCGTGCGTGTGGGCGGTGTGGTCAACTGTGTGTGTGTCTATAAATCAGATGTGCTGTGGTGTGGGCCGTGTGTGTCACTGTGTGTGTGTCTATAAATCATGACGGCGGAGTGTGTCACGTGTGTGGGTGGTCTATAAATCAGATGCTGCGTGTGTGTGCGTTGTGTCACTGTGTTGTGTCTATAAATCAGAACGTGCTGTGTGTGGCGTGTGTGCAACTGGTGTGTGTCTATAAATCAGACGTGCATGTGTGTGGCGTGTTGTCACTGTGTGGGTGTGTATAACTGTGTGTGTGGTGTGTATGTCTATAAAATCAGAACGTGCGTGTGTGGCGGGTGTCAACTGTGTGTGTGTCTATAATCAGACGGCGGGTGTTCACTGTGTGTGTTCTATTAAATCAGATGTGCGTGTGTGTGCGTGTGTGTCACTGTGTGTGTGGTCTAATAATCAAGACCGTGCGTGTGTGGCGTGTGTGTCACTGTGTGTGGTTCTATAAATCAGATGTGGGTGTGTGGCGTGTGTGTTCAACTGTGTGTGTTGTCATAAATCAGACCCGGCGTGTGTGTCAACTTGTGTGTGTGTCTATAAATCAGACGTGCGTGTGTGTGGCGTGTGTGTCAACTGTGTGTGTGTCTATAAATCAGACGTGCGTGTGTGTGGCGTGTGTGTCAACTGTGTGTGTCTATAAATCAGACGTGCGTGTGTGGCGTGTGTGTGAGCTGTGTGTGTGTGTCGGGGAGCAGGCGGGCGAGTGGGGCCGTGGCCGTCTCGCCGTGGGCAGGAAGGGAAGCGGCGTCTCTGGCAAGTGCTGCAGACGCCGTGCGCGCGGGGTCTCGGGTTGAAGGCTTTTGTTCCCGGGCGTCAGCACGCGTGGGCCCCGCAGAGGTCCTGCGGTGGCGGACGCCGTGCCGCCCGGTGCGTGTGGAAGCGGCTCTGCCCGGTTTCTGGCCAGGTGCGGCCCGGGGGCGGCCGCCCGCACCAGCAAGCCTGGCGCTCCGCTCTCAGCCAGCACGTCTGAGACGCGGCCCCCCGCCCCCTGCGCCCGCGGGGCTGCCCTGGTGTGTGCGCCCTGGGAGAGCGCCGCGGAGAAAGTATTTTGATGTTTGCTTGTTTTTTAGAAATTGAGGATGACACTTAAATAGGGAAAGTGGGGCCCGCAAGTAACCCGGGTGCACAGCGATGTTTGTTGCTCTTTCCCCTCTGTCTAATTTGTTGTCGTCCGGTGGGTGATTCACTTTGCTTCTCACCTTTCTGTGACACAGGAGGTTCCCTCTGGAGGAGATCCCGCTGGACGAGAAGGAGGCCGCTCAGTGGCTTCACAAGCTCTACCAGGAGAAGGTGCGTGCGCTCAGCTCACCTTGGCGTCCGGCCCGGCTACCACGGGGCGCGGGCAGGGCGGGCGGGTCCCTCGGCGGCTTCCTCTGCAGCTCGGGTACCGAGCAGCTCCCAAACACTGCTGATCCCCATTTCCCTTGTTCTTCCCTTGCTCTTAACTGTTAAGAAATTAACAAACTAGAGACAAGTGCGGAGGACAGCATGATGCTTATAACCATGGATGATAGCATCTTGTCACAGTTTTTCATATTCTTACATAAAAGAAATTACAGATATGTAACAGACATAGACCTGCAAGAGACTGCGTGTGTACGCACACCAGCACCTGCTTTCAGTTTCCTTTATGCCCACAAATGCACAGGCCACTAGATGTCTGTTTTCAGCCTGGTGGGAGGCTAGATAACGGGAAAAGGGTAACAGATATGCAGCCGAATGGGAACAGCCAAGAAGGGTAACAGATATGCAACCGAATGGGAACACCCGGAAAGGGTAACAGATACGCAGCCGAATGCATCGACCAGCTGGCAAGAAAATGAGGAGGTTCCCGGGGACCGGAAAAAGGAGGGTGAGACTGAAAACCGGGGTGGAGGGCCCGCGAGCTGACGCTGCCTCACTTCCCCTGCTCCGTGTTCTGGGCCCCGTCTCCAAGTCTGGAGTTTCAGTTCCTGCGTGGAAACAGTGGATAAAGTTTGACCTCATTCAGGGCAAAGCAGAAGATGAGCTCACAGCAAAATACAAGACGTTTGGGGGGAAGGAAACAAACCCTGTCCTTTATAGGTGAAGGGACAACAGGTACGGCAAATAGAAAACGAAGCCCTCCAAGGTAGCACTGATGGAACTGTCAGAGAGGATGGGTAGAGTCAGATAGAAACTAAAATGAGTATGTTTTAAGTGATTAAGCACAAAAGAAGGATTGAAAACTAAGAGCATAAGACCGAGGAAAAAATGAGAAGAATTTAAGAAGAGTCAAGTTGAATTTATAGGCCTGGGAAATCTATTCACTGATAGCAGAATCCCAAGAGATCACACAGTAGCTGAGAGACAGCTACAGAGAGAATTCGGGCACTGAGAGATTTTAGGGGACTGTTCAGAAGGTGGCACGGAAGGAGAGGCAGTGATGAAGAGCAGCTGACAGGGTCTTCCAAACTCGGCACACACACACACGTATAGTCACAGATATTGTTTAAATAGAATCTCATGGAACTTTAACCTCTTCTGCCAAAAAACTTAAGAAATTAACAATCCTGAGGGTCCCGAACGTGTGTCCTTGTCAGCCCGTGACCGTAGTATCCCGTGCAGTGGCCGCAAAGAGCCACGTTCCGCGTGGCGTCGTGGCGTCTGGCACGGAGAGTGCGCCTGTTTGCGCTGCAGAGTTGCGCAGACGGCTGGGCTCCACCCGTGTCTCCACCACCTTCCCCCTGCCCCCGCCCTCGTTAGCCGTCCTCACCAGACAGGGAAACAGAGGACCGAGAGTGCGAAGAGCAGTCTGCTGGGAGAGGGTGGTGCTGGGGTCTGTGCCCAGGCTGCAGGACGCCCACAGGTCACGCTGGCCGCCCCCGCTGCATGCCCTGAGAAGGTCGGCATGGGTGAGCGGCGCACACCTGTCAGGCGTGTGCTTGGCGTGAGCTTTGCATTTCCAGCTTTGCCCGCGTGGCCATTTTCCTAGGAGACTCCCTGGGTCAAAGGGTCTGACACAGGCCACAAAGGTTCTCCAAAAGGGTAAAGCCACCCAGTAAGCGCAGCTTGTGTGATGTGTCCGCTTACCTTACGCGGCACTTTGTTTAGGTTGAGCCATTGTGTCGTCGCGGTGACTCTCCTGCGTGGAAAGCATGGCACGCAGGAAACCTTGGCTCTCTTGTTCCGTGTTGACTCTTCCAGGACGCGCTGCAGGAGATGTACAATCAGAAGGGCGTGTTCCCAGGGGCACAGTTTAAACCTGCCAGGAGGCCGTGGACCCTCCTGAACTTCCTCTGCTGGGCCACCGTCCTGCTGTCCCCTCTCTTCAGCTTCGTCCTGGGCGTCTTTGCGAGCGGCTCTCCTCTCCTGATCCTGGCCTTCCTGGGGTTTGTGGGAGCAGGTAATGGACGCCAGGGCTCACAGCCTGCGGTGCGGGGGTCTCCCTGTGCCGGCCAGGGGCTCAGAACAGCACAGCTCGTCATAGTGGTCATCACAGACCTCGGGGGGCTGGGAGCCAGCCCGACCCTGTGTCCCCGCAGCCTGGGCTGCTGCCACCGAGCTGCAGGGTCATCGTCTCAGACTGCAGCCCCCCAGCCTCACAGGACGCCGCCGAGGGGTCCTGAGTCCCTCTCTCTGCACGTGGGCTCCCAGGAGGCGGGCTGGCCACTCGGAAGGGTTAACCCGGACACTGTCACTGCCCAGCACCCACCTACCTGTTGGTCCTTGGTGACGTCCCTGTGTGCCCCGCTCTGAGCACAGTGCCGGCACCTGCCGGGACCCGTGAGCTGGCCAGGGCAGAGAGCGAACGCCCTGCCTGTCTCTGCAGTGAACACCCTGAAGCGGTGCGCGGATAGTCCACATTCAGTGCCCGGCTGCAGCGCCCAGCCCCCCTGCCCCTGCCCGCCCCCTGCCAGAGCTGGGAGGGAGGGTCCAAGAGGAAGCGACTGCCATCGTCCTCTCAGCCCCGACGGGGCGTGGCAGGGCCAGTCTGTGGGGACGGGCAGGCAGGGCTCGGTCCGGACGTCCCCCCGCCTCTGACCCAGCGGGGCGGGGAGCACGGCATGTGCACCGCCGCCCCCAGGCCCGCCGGGACCCCGTGCCCGACGGCTGTGCCCACAGCGGGCGCCACAGCCCAGGGCGCCGGGGGCGGAGGAGGGGACCCTCCTGCAAGGCTTCCACAGCGGGTGGCCAAGTGGCCGTCTGACCTCTTCTCTCTCTCTCCTGCTTTAAAGCTTCCTTCGGAGTTCGCAGACTGATAGGAGTGACCGAAATAGAAAAAGGCTCCAGCTACGGAAACCAAGAATTTAAGAAAAAGGAATAATTAATGGCTGTGATTGAACACACAACCTGACGGTGGTATCCTAGTAACTCGATTAAAAACAGAACACACACAGAGCGGAGGACAAAAAGACACTTAGAAACTATTTTTCTTATTAACTGGTGACTAATATTAACAAATAAAACTTGAGCCAAGAGCGCGAGGTGGGAAGGCCGCCCGCCAGGGCCCGGCCGCTCGGGCGCGAGTCCCTCGAGAACTCTGCTTCCAAGAAGAGCCTTTGGCTGCTTTCTCTCCTGGAGCCTAGATCGAGAATTTTTGGTTTTTATCAGTTGTTTTGGGAACTTAACCTGGCCCCTCACCTCTTCCCCTGCACCCCAAAAAACTGCCTCTTCATGAATTTCCGCCGTCCTCGTGGGAACGGACTGCCTGGGTCCCAGTCGCCCCGAGAGCTCGCTGGGCCGCTCTGCTTGGCTGCACTTGGCTTCTAGACCCTGGGGCCGAGGGACGCTCTCCCCGTGATAAGCACACCCCCCGAATGTCTGTCGCAGGCGGATCCATAGCAACCCCGCCCTGGCCTCCGCCCCGCGGGCCGTGGGTGAGCCCGGTCCATTCTCTGGCGCCGTCCGCCCGTCCAGTCTGGCCCTGTGTGCACACACCTTCCGTCTGTTTTTTCCCCGGGAGCGGCCCCTGAGGACTCGGCAGAGCGCAGAGTTCCCCAGGTACAGCCCCTCTGCCCCCGCCCTAACACGGCGGCGGGCCCCAGTGCCCCTCGCTGGGCGCCAGGGATAGAGGACCGCCCGGCCACCCTGGCAGACCGGGAGCCCTGCGGCCTGCAGGCCTCTCTGGAGTGCTTTTTAAGACGTGACGTCACCATTAAACCTCTTTCCTTTAAAGGTGGGTGGTGGGAGGCTGTTCATACCGGGCTTGTTGGCTTCTAGAGTTTTTATTCTTGCTAGCTGTTCTCTTGTTGGGTCTCAGCCTCCTGCTGGAAGCCAGAGGCGGGTGCCCCGTCCCCCGCCGCCGCGCACTGTGTCCCTGGGGAGGGCCGGCCTCCGTCCAGGCAGGTGCCACCATCGCGGCCCGGCCCACCCCCCACAGGTGTCCCGGCCACGGCGCCACCTCCCAGCGTCCTGACAGAGAAGGAGGTGTCCTCGCAGCCACACGGCAGTCCCTGTGGCCCCCAGCCCAAGTGGAAGAAGTTTCTTCCCAAGGCACATTAATGCCCAGCTCTGCCTGGGCCCAGCGCGTGGTAGGGGAGTCTCTTCCGACTTCTCCCCACGGCCCGGCCCCTCCCTCAGCCCCACGGGGCCATCACACCACCGCCCACCTGCACCTGGCTTTTTCCCAAACTTGCAACTTGCTTGTTTAAAGTCACACTCCCCCAGTTTATTAGCAAGGGGGAAGAAATGGATGTTTTCTCTGCTACACTGTAACCAGCATTCTGAATAGAGGTAGGTTGAGTTTTTGAGTGCAAAAAATTAAGGAAAGAGGCACGGAGGAAAGTATAGATAAATTGAGAGAATAATTATACCTCGGCCCTGCGAGGGGAGGGTCTGTCAAGACAGCGCATCTTCCTTCCAGAAGGAAGACACTGCCGGGCTCTGTCTGGGACCACACCAGGCTGGTCCCGAGAGACGGGCGCGGACACCGTGCCGGGGGCAGGTGGGGAGGGGTGCGCCAGCAGGACAGAAGGAAACACCGGGGGGACCACGCTGGTCCGGGGTGTGCTTCCCTCCGTCTGCAAACCCGCCCCTCCCCACCTCTGCCCGAGCGGTCCCTGCAGGGCGAGAGAGTTTCCGGGGTTTTCTCCTGCGACACGCTGCTCCTCTGTCTTTACGTGTGTTTTAAATCTGTCCTTCACTAATTCACTAACACCCAAAAGATCTTAAAGGAAAAACACTGAAAGGTACTACCGTGCACATACACGCCCTAGAAATGTGCAGATCTAGCTCTTTTTGCCGTCTGATCCGTAGTCCTCGCTCCCTCCCCTCGGAGTTCATCGGTCTGTGGTGGGTGAGTCTGCCCGAGCCAGCGAGGACTGTGGCGAGTCCTAGGTTGAAATGGCATTGAGGCCACAAGCACAAGTTTCGGTCGCTCCCGACTTCCTCCTGGTCTGAAAGCTTAGCTTGTGTGTCTGAACACCGAGCCTTTGAGAGCAATAAAAACTACACCATGAATGTTTTGGGTTTTTTTTTTTCTTTTTTTTTAATGAGGGGGTGGATTTTGCTTTTCATCTCCTTTAGAAGGTTAGGAGGAGGAGAGCTGCTTTAACTTTTTAAATTAAATCAATAAATCCCAGAATAGCACTTTTTACATTTTCCCCTTTATGCCCGGCTGCCGGGCTCCATTCATTGCTGCTGTGATGTCCAAGTTCAAGCCGAATGTTGGGGCCGAAGTGACCCTGTGGCCCCAGCCAGTCTGTGCTGGCCACAGGGGTTGGGGGACGTCTCCGGCCAGGCTGCCCCCAGAAACCAGGCCTGGCACGGGCTCTTCCGGGGTCACTGCCTGGCGCCTGTCTCAGCTCAGCAGGGGCCGTGGGGGCTCCTGCCCGTCCTCCCCAGGGCCCCCTTCCTCACCTCCCCACACGCGTGTCCTGGCGTGGAGTTGGGTTGTGGAGCCGGCTCCTGAGCAGACCCCTCTAACACTAGGCGGGGCTGGGGAGGGGCTCGCAGTTCTCTCGGCCCCCTCTGGAGAGTTCCAGAGGTTTCTACGATGTCTGTGGCCTTTCACGGTGCCTTTATGGAGCTGCCAGCATCCGTGGGCCTTCTGGCTTCTCTCTGGGGTCCTTCCGTGACAGTCCCCTCTGGACGCAGGCAGGCAGACGCCGGGGGAGGGCACGGTCGGCCCGCGGGGGACCACGCCTCACAGGTTGGGAGACGCTATTCCCCCAGACTGAGGCCTTCGCGCCTGGAAACGGCCACTCGATAAGACTTTGGGCCCAGAGAAGTGACATTGCCCAGCACTTGGTGGCCGGTACCAGGTGCACAGCCCTACCTGAGGTGCTTTCAGGCCCCTGTCCTCAAGAGGCACAGAGTGTGGCCGCGTGAGCAGCACTTTCTCGTAAAACGGTAACGAGTAACGCAGGTAATGCCGCTGACCGGCTTCGACTCCCCCCCCCTCGTCTGCCCTGCCCCGTGCCGCCCCTTATGTGCACCGTGTGTGGCGCGAGACTGTCCCCGCCCACGCTCGCCCAGGTGCCGCTGGGCCTTGAGGTGCGTCAGGAGGGCGGGAGACGTGCGATTCAGGAGCTGCGGGCGGCTGTCCCCGCCCGTTGTGGCTGCCGGTCTTTGTCAGATTCGGGGTGAAGGATTACTTCCCTGCATGCTCTATCCCTGCCCGAGACACTTTTAGGACAAGCCAAATAGAATCTTTTCTCGGCCCCGCCGACTTTCATCCGGGTCGCCGGCTCCACGTGTGTCCGCCAGCAGCCGCCGCACGCACCCCGGCATGCAATGCCCAGCGCCCCGGCGTGACGCGGCTTCCAACCCTCGGCGGCATGACCGGGCCCGGGGCTAATGCTCGTGCCCGGCACGCCTGCCTTCTTTCTGGGAATGGCACACCCCCGGCCCAGGTGCCTGCCCCTTTCTCTGGCCAAACCCGAAGGCAGCCCCTCCAGAGCACCCGGGCCTGGGCAGGGGCCCGGCCGCACCAGGGGCTCAGCTCTGGCCTGTGCCGTCACCCTGCCGCGGGCTGCCGGGGCGGGGGTGGACACGCACGCTCCCCTTTCTTGCATGTCAAGGCCAGGGTGCAAAAAACACAGGGACAGTTTTTAGGTGAAAGATGTCACAGTGCAATCTGCATGGGGGGTGGGGGTGGACACACACGGATTAAGTTTTATCACAAGCATTTGCTGCTTGTTAATTCAGGGAAAACGGTGGCATTCGCACCACCTGCTCGGGAGGCAAAGCGACACTTTTAGGAAGTTCACAGGAACGTTGGCAACGGTCAGCCCAGGCACCAGTAGCGTATGTGCTTTTCAAGGATTGTTGAATTGTCTTAAAATTTTAAGCTTTGTAATGACAAGTTCACCTGGAGTTTCTCATTAACTTTTCAGTTTCTTTTGGTTGCAAAAGTACTTGGGCGGAAGTCGAACTGTGAATGGGATACTGAAATGCACTAAATTGTATTAAATTAAACTGGAGTTACTTGATAACAATGAAGAAATGCATCCGATCCACTTGTATTTATTGTCTCAGAACTGTACGTTGTGACAATCAAATGTTAACTTGCCTACATGCCAGGAAATCCGACTGGCTTCCTAATCACAAAGATCGCCAGCAAGTACTGTAACTAAATGAAAATCTCTCTGGAAAAACCACACAAACCACCGACTCGAGTGCACGTGACAGACATCGGGGTTCTCTTCCTATCGTGGAAGAGTCCCCACTCTGCTCACTGTCGGCCGGCCAGCTTCGAAGGGATACACTGTATACAGGGTGCAACTGTATTATATGGATGTTTCCTTTTGTACACTTCATTTTTACAAGTTTTGCTACTCACAAGCTTTCCGTAGCGGAGGACAGAGGTGTTCTTGGTCTATAGCAGCTCGTCAGGGGTGGGGGTGCCTAGACATTACAGGCCCACGTCCCAAAGGACTGGCTGTGTGCGCCATGCTATGCAAGGATCTCTGTGTACTCGGGCAGGCGAGCCCGCCGAGGCGGGTGGCTCTGTGTGGCGGTGGCTTCCAGGCAGGACGCTGCAGGCATCGTGCTTGTTCATTTCAGTTGCTGCTGTGAAAGAGAGTGATGAACTATCCACAATACAAGAGAATGTGACTCTCGGCCTCATCTTGTGTCTTTGTGTCCAGTCGTCACGGGTTTTTCCAGGGGGACACCAGGGCCACCAGGCACCGCTGTCCCTTGGGGTCACCCGCCTGCACGGCCCCTCCCCCGTTGTCTCGAGGCCGTCCTGCTGGTGGCCTTGTCGAGTCCCCCACCCCCATGGAAGCTGATTTCCGGAAGGGGGACTGAGAAGGAGCCAGACCGTGTGGCTTGGGGCGATCAGCTGGGACCCAAAATAAGCGAAATGCCCCACCTCCGGTCCTGGGGGGCGGGAGGGCCGGGCTCCCTCTGGTATTCTGGGAAGTCCAGCATCCCAATACTTCCTGGATTCAGACGGCGTTCTGCGTGACCTTGCGCTGTCCTCTCAGAAGACAGAGGCGAGGCGCCCTGGAACCACTTGGTATCTGGGGACGGCAGGTGGGCCAGGCCTTGCCTTGCGCACAGACCCTGAGGGGTGGCCATGGCAGACCCCTGCGGGCTCCCTCACCCTGAGTGTCCCTCACAGACGTCCCGGGCACCCCCCAGTCGGGCCAAGGTTAGCTCTGAGGCCCACGTCCCCCTCTGCGTCCACCCTACCAGGGAAACTCAGTATGTAGGAGCCAGCCCCTGGCCACCTGACATTCTGGGACACACGTACACATACACGCACATGGCACGTGTATGCGGACATCTGTACGCATGTGGGCACACATGCACGCTCACAGGTGCACACGCATGTGCACGTCCCAGACAGTAAGGGGGAAGCTTGGGTGGTCCTGCGAGAGCAACCCGGTTAGGAAGGGGGCTTTTCGAATCATCCTTTGCTCACGTCTCCACCCAACACGGTGCCTGAGAACCCAGGCGCGCCCAGGGAGCCCGTGCGGCAGTGGCGTCCACGGAAAGAGCAGCTGCTGCTCAGAGGCTAAGGGGCTCTGCAAAGAAACCACATGGCCCCGAGACCCCTCAGGGAGTCGGCGACCCTGCCAGGCCTCTGCCTCGCTGCTAGACACGGGCTCCCGCCCTGCACCTGACCCGCACCTGCAGGGCCGGAGCCAGGCGTCCTGCCTGTGGCCAGAGGGGCCGGTGCACACAGAGACACGCGTGTGCAGGCGCTCTCCCTGCAGCTGGGGACGGGGCGGGCACCAGTCCTGGGAGGACAGGGCTGTGGGGGCTCAGAGTGGCCTCTGCTGCTCCCCTGCAGGTGGTCTTGGCCTCACGACACTTGCCAGGGTGGAGTCGCTCTGCGGTCTTGGCGTCTCAGGGACGGAAAATACCTTGAAGATCATTCCGTCCAAACGCCCGTCACACACTTCAGTTCCCTCCAGAGCAGCCGCGTGGAACCCACCGAGTCCTGGGAACTTGCCAGTGCCCCAAACGGTTCCCCCTCCTAGGGACAGGTGGCGAGGGGGCGGAGGCGTGTTTCCGTGGGACGGTGCGGGATAGCAAGAGGGTTTGGAGTCTGGGGTCTGGGGGCGTCTAGGTTAAAACCCCAAACCTACCCCTTAGTATCTGTACGGCCCAGGTGAGGAACTGAGTCCTGGGCCCCTCGGTTTCCTCATCTGTAAAATGGGTTATTAGGAGGACCAGAGCGTGTCAAGAGCTCAGGACATGCTATGTCCTGAGCACCTGTCGGCTCAGGTGCTGACAGGTGGCCACTGTCCCCTGCACACCTGCAGGCGTCTGGAGGCCCAGCGTCCTGTCCTCGACTCTGCCTGGGCCAGCCTGGAGCGTGACGGCGCATGTGCTTTCCCTCGCCTGGCACCGTTTCACAGGCCGCCAGCAGCTGCTCCTCTCCCCGGCCCCTCGTCTTCCTCTGTCACTTTTAAACCCCTTTGTTGAATTCGGCGTGTTCTGCCGGTCCAGTAAATTTGTCCTCCAGAGCTGTCTTTGGCGCCTGCCACCGTGCGCCCGTCCGTGCTGTCTGCCGGGGCTGCTTTTGGACAGGGCCGAGCGCCCGGGGCCTGGCGAGCTGGTCACCCACTGCCCCCGGCCCCGCCCGCCACAGCGGGACTCTGCCCGCCGCTGCTGAAGCAGCACTCCTGGAGCCGGGGCTCTGGGCTCTGGCTTCGGCTCCTCGGAGGATCTGAGGCTTCCAGAACATACTGTCCCCTCAAACTGTTTTAAAATGGATCACTTTCTCTTTAAAAATTCTGACTATGTCCGCCATAATTAAATGGTTGGTCCCAGCGGCCAGGGACTTTGTAAGAAACCTGACCCGCTGGGCCAGCCCAAGTCTACCAGATATACTCCCTAACCTATTTAAAAAAAAAAAAAAAAAACCAGGCCGGGCGCAGTGGCTCACACCTATAATCCTGTAATCCTGTAATCCCTGAGGCAAGGCGACACCCGTCTCTACTAAAAATAGAAAGAAATTAGCTGGACACCTAAAAATATATAGAAAAAAATTAGCCGGGCATGGTGGCACATATATGTAGTCCCAGCCACTAGGGAGGCTGAGGCAGGAGGATCGCTTGAGCCCAGGAGTTTGAGGTTGCTGTGAGCTAGGCTGACGCCATGGCACTCTAGCCGGGGGTGACAGAATGAGACTCTGTCTCAAAAAAATAAACGGATAAATAAATGAAAACAACAACAACAACAAAATATGAAGGGCCGGGCAAGGTGGCTCACACCTGTAATCTCAGCACTTTGGGAGACTGAGGCAGGAGGATCGCTTGTGCCCAAGATTTCAAGACCAGCCCAGGCAGTAGAGAAACCTCCATCTCTACAAAACATAAAAAAATTAGCTGGGCATGGTGGTGCATGCCTGTAGTCTCAGCCACTCAGGAGGCTGAGGTGGGAGGATTGCTTGAGCCCAGGAGGTGGAGGCTGCAGTGAGCTAGGACCAGGCCACTGCACTCCAGCCTGGGTGACAGAACAGGACCCTGGGGAAACAAAAACAAAAACGCAGGAAGGCGGCTGCCACCTCCAGGGGCCCTGCCACCAGAGACGGCCAGCAGGAGCTACATGACTACAGGCACAGACCCTGGTGGCTGAAGACAGCAGAGCAGGTATGAATTGTCCGGCCATGCCCCCAGCTCAAACCCTTTATCTGCTGGCTTCTAACTAGAAAAACGAGTGAGGCCACCTGCAGCGCTGCCCCTGGCCAGTGCAAGGTCTGGGGAGGCATGTGGGGTGCTGGGGGGCCCAGCTGTGGTAGGAGGCGCCCGGCAAGCCTGCCTCCTGGTGAGTGAGGTCCGCACCTCCTCCGCCCCGGCGGGCCCAGTTCTCCAAGGCAGCCCGAACATCTCGGGGTTCCTCTGTGCGGGGAGAGGCTCCAGGTGTAGACGTGGCTGCAATGATGCTGGGGCCACAGCCCGGTCCCCGACAGCCCCAGCTAACCCTGCGCGGAGAGAAGCGGTGTTCCTGCCCCTTCGGTTGGGTGGCCAGCGACCTGCAACCTAAGCTCTGCAGCCTGTGAGCTGCACCAGGATGTGAACCTCACCTCGGGCCACAGCAGGAGGGAAACGAACCTTCTGTTATTCCTGTTCTCTGTCCCCACAACAGAAACTCACTTTTATTATCCTGAGCTCCATTCCTTTTTTTTTTTTGAGACAGAGTCTCACTTTGTTGCCCAGGCTAGAGTGAGTGCCGTGGCGTCAGCCTAGCTCACAGGCAACCTCTAACTCCTGGGCTCAAGCGATCCTCCTGCCCCAGCCTCCCGAGTAGCTGGGACTACAGGCATGCGCCACCATACCCGGCTAATTTTTTCTATATATATAATATATTAGTTGGCCAATTATTCTTTGTAATAATAGTAGAGACGGGTCTCGCTCTTGCCAGGCTCGTTTTGAACTCCGACCTCCAGCAATCCGCCCCCACCTCGGCCTCCCAGGAGTGCTAGGATTACAGGCCTGAGCACCACGCCAGCCCTGAGCTCTCATTCCTGCTTAGAGTTTGGGGCCACCTGCCCCAAAATGACTTTTCCCTGGTCCTTGGCTTGGAGGGACTCTGTGCTCTGGGCCAACACCGTGTATTAAACAGACCACCGTGTGGCGTCTTCCTTGGGAGATTTCTGAGAGGCCACATCTCACTTGTTGAAAACAGGCACCCCGTGGGTCCACCTGGGTCATTGCTTCCTGCCCAGCCCCCACCCCAGCATGGGGCCTACCTGAAGGTCACAGCCCCCCCTCCTTCAGAAAACAGCCACCAGCCGGTGCTGTGGCCACGCCTGTAACCCTAGCACTCTGGGAGGCTGAGGTGGGGGGGGGATCGCCTAAGGTCAGGAGTTCGAAACCGGCCTTGAGCAAGAGCGAGACCCCGTCTCTACTAAAATAAAAATGCAAAGAAATTAGTTGGATAACTAAAAAATATAGAAAAAATTACCCGGGCGTGGTGACCCGTGCCTGTAGTCCAGCTACTCGGGAGGCTGAGCAGGAAGATCACTCGAGCCAGGAGTTTGAGGTTGGCTTGAGCTAGGCTCACGCCACGGCACTCACTCTGCCTGAGCAACAAAGGGTAGACTCGTGCTCTCAAAAAAATAATGATGAACAAAATAAATAAATAAATAGAAAACAGCCACAGCCCCAGGGTCAGGCCTCAGTGTCTCTTCCAAGAAGCTGGGCTCTGGGGCTCTGGGGCGTGGGCAGCGGGAAGTTGGCCAACAGCCCCTGGGGTCCTGCCAGCCCTGCCTGAGGCAGAGCTTTACGCGGCCCCCTCCCGGCACCGCCGCCTTTCTGGAGGACAGCGCCAGGGACTGGCACCAAGGGTGCTGGCCTGGACGTTTGCCCCTGGTGAGGAGGATCCCTCTCCGTTTCCCGGTGCGAGGGCTTTTCTTCAGTGGGGCCTGCGCACACCTGCCCAGTCGGCCGTCCGTCTCTCCCGCGGCACACGTGGCCAAGCCGTGAGGACCCGGCGGGAGAACCCAGACAGTGTGTCGTGAGCCACCGTGCCCAGCCAGGACGGACTTCTTTTTAAAGCCTGAATAGGCCGGGCGAGGTGGCTCACGCCTGTCATCCCAGCACTCTGGGAGGCCGAGGCGGGCGGATTGCTCGAGGTCAGGAGTTCAAAACCAGCCTG